AAAGTGGGTTGGCCGACGATGATAGAGTAATTTCGACCCATCCGTCTGTGCAATGTAACTTACAAGATGATCACCAAGTGCTTGGCAGAGAGATTGAAGGCGTTGATGCCACGTCTAGTTCACGAGACGCATACTAGCTTTGTCCCAGGGCGCCACATTACTGATAATATTTGTAATTTGCAGGAAGTGGTTCATTCAATGTGTGCTAAGAGAGGCAGAGAGGGTTGGATGGTCCTGAAGATTGATCTCGCCAAGGCGTATGATCGAATTAAATGGTATTTTGTTCAGGAGACTTTGGAGGCAGCAAGAGTGCCTCGGAGATTTACGGAAGTTACTATGAGCTGTATTACTTCTTCTACCATGCAGATCCAGTGGAATGGAGGCCTTACCGAAGACTTTACACCTTCCAGCCTCCAGGGGTCTCCGGCAGGGTTGTCCGCTATCTCCGTACATTGTTACTCTCTGCATGGAGCGATTGGGGCACTTAATCACTGCAGCGCTGGACAAGGGAGAGTGGCAGACGATCCGACTATCTAATGGGGTCCCCAGGTTATTGCACCTGTTTTTCGCGGATGATCTGATTCTCTTTGGTGTAGCTTCTTTGGCGCAGGTGCAGACCATAATGACATGTTTAGGTGAATTCGGGGAAGCCTCAGGTTAGCAGGTGAATCGGGCAAACTCGCGGGTCTACCTCTCAAAAAATGTAACAGCAGGCGAGGCCCTCAACCTCAGTAATGCCCTAGGTATCCCTGCTACAACTAATCTGGGACGCTACCTGGGAGTGCCGGTTATCCATGATCACGTCTCTAAGACGACTTACACTGAGTTGATTGACTGCATTGATACTAGATTAGCGGGGTGGAAGGTTAAATCGTTCTTTGGCGGGAAGGATCACATTGGCTCAATCAGTACTATCATCCCTTCCAGCTTATACCATGCAGACATCGTGGCTTCCTGCCTCTGTCCGGGACTACATTGACAAAAAAAAATAAGAGGATTTATCTGGGGCAGCACGGATCAGGGGAGAAAAATTCACCTACTTGACTGGGACACATTGTGTACGCCAAAAGAGGAGGGTGGATTAGGTTTGCATAGTGCAACACGTATGAATGAGGCATTTATGATCAAAATAGCCTGGCGACTGCTTACTAAACAGGATAGTCTTTGGGCGTAAGTTATCAGGGGGGAAGTATTTGCGGAGAACAGAGCAGGGGTGGCGAGTAAGAAAAGATGGCCGATTATCTAATCTTTGGAAAGGGGTTGCTCGAGTATTGTACTTTATCCCGGAAGGGACTATGTGGATTGTGAACAGCGGGTTGCAGGCACGCTTTTGGACGGATCGGTGGTTTCAAGATGGCCCCCCACTGATTTCCTATGCCAATGATCTACCCTAGGCAGTGCGTGAGATGACAGTGGCGGAATTTATGCTCAATGGCGAATGGAATCTGGCGTTCATCAGTGCATATCTCCCCGAAGTGGTAGTTGCCCAGCTTGGCTTGCATCCAGTACCGATCGGGGATGAGCCGGACGTTCTCGTTTGAGATATTCGAACACCGAACGGTTCACTTTGAAGACTGCTTACGAGTTGACGAGGGGGGAGATGAAACTGGGCAACAACACCCAATTTGGAAGAAGGCTTGGAATGTTCAGTGACCTCAACGTACGAAGACTTTCCTTTGGCTTTGCATGGCCGACTACTTACTAATGCAGAACGGGTTTGGCGTCATTTGGCGCAGGTGGACGACTGCCCGGTGAGCGGAGGGGGACCCGAGACGGTGCTTCATGTAATACGGGATTGCCCTTATGCCAGGGGAGTGTGGTCCTATGATCTAGAGGACGAGCCAGATTTCGCTTTTCTAGAGACTGATATTATGAGTTGATGCTTGCATTATTTAAGCGGTCGAAGTAAGATTGTGGATCCCATGTTGTTTGCTATCCTCTGTTGGAAGATCTGGAAGAACAGGAATGCGTGGGTTTTTTAGAAGGCAATCTCATCGTTGGATGGTCTAGCGAGAGGAGCTCAACACCTACGGGATTCTTCGGGACTACCGTTCAGAAAAGCTCAGAGCATTGTGGACGAGGGCAGACAATGAGCTACCCGGATGATTGGATGGCAACATCCCCTGGACGGATGGGTTGTGGTAAATACTGACGGATCGGTAGTCCCAGAACTTGGGCGATCGACGGCAGGCGGAGTACTATGAGGAAGTAATGGGCGGTTCATGTCAGCATTTTCCATCAATCTGGGAGGAGGTTCGATAACACATGCTGAACTTGCAGGGATCGCTCAGGGACTGAAGGTTGCATGGAAAGCGAGAGCTCGCAAAGTCAAGCTACAAACTGATTCAATAGCAGCTATCTCCCTTTTGCAGTCGAACAGCAGAACTCATCCGCACTATACAATGACATCCGCGATCCGTAGGCTCTTGGAGAGGGATTGGGAGGTTAGTGTTGATAATGTGTTTAGGGAGAGTAATTATGTTGATGATTACCTGGCCTCTGTTGGTTATTCGCTACCTGTGGGAGTGCACATCTTTGACACCCTTAGCTCACATTTGCGTTATTAGTTGATGTACGATCTTATTGGGTTTCAAATTTCTCGGTCTATTAATTCATAAGGGTTAGAGCGCCCTCGGCGCTCTGTGTTCTACCCAAAAAAATATAGTAATTTTTGTGACGGATATAATGAAATACGCTAGCGTGACATTTTTTATATTAACTTGCCAACTTGTGATTTACAATAGGGTCGGACAATCGATTACCGGTTAGCGGTTAACCGACCGGTCACAAACGAAATCGGCCAGTTATTCGCTAACCAAAAACCGAGATAATAGAAAATTGATCGGTGTTAGGAGGGATAGCCGAGATGATTTTGGTCTTGGGGGCAGCTCGGTTAACCGAAACCAAGATAACCGAAGCCTTAATGCCTCTTCCGGTCGGTGGTCGGTAGAAGTGGGGTGGTTCAGTTTAACCAATAACCGACCGGTTTTTTGTTACAACCGAACCGACCGAACTTCACTCCTAATTTACAACATTTTATTCTAATCTGTATATCAATCAATCTTATAAATGGAGGTTGATTTTAAAATCGCAACTCAAATATTATTTGGTCGAATATTGCACATTGAATTGGAGTATTAAATATCTAAAAGAGATGTAGAATTCTTAAATCAGAATTAATTTCAAGAACTACTAAGAAGCAATGATATCTTTGGGCATTGCACACCATAAGGGTTGTGGTTATCATTTCTCATAAATCGTCATGCCACACTATTCCTTCAATTATTTCCTTTTTTTTGTCTTAGTCTCAAACTTGTTACTAAAAGAGGTATAGAAAAATAACTAAACACGTTTCTGTTACTAATTGTCAATTTCTATGATTTTTATGAAATTATCATATAAACAAAAAAAATATAATGATAAAATAGTTTTATTAATCAAGGAAAAAACGAAGAACAACTCCCTGCTAGAATTATGAAGTTTCCGGTTACTATTGTATCAACAGAGCATCATGATGGACGTGACCTCTATATATCCTCCATCGTTTTCCAATGTTACAAACATTATATACATAGGGAATAAATTTGTTTTTGAATCAGGTGATGCCTAGTTGGTCCTAAGGTCGGCATCGGTTTGGTTCGCCCCAAACCAAACAAGAGCATACTGTTATGCTAAGTAGTCCAAATAATGCAACTGATTTCGAACCAAATTATATTTTGGTTCGGTCTGGCTAAATCGCGATAGAATTTGATTTGGATCAGAAAATCCATCAAAACCAATCTGTCTCTCCAATCTATATATCACTGCCACTGAATAATTACTAAACCCTTCTTCCCAGCCGCTCACTCTAGTCTTCGTTGTTATTCTCCTCTTTTCTCTCCGCCGTTGTTTCCCTTTCCTCAGAATCTTCACACATTCTTTACATAATACATAAAATAAACCTACATACATAACGAATGCAAATGCTCATGTAATAGTACTCGTGCATTAAAATATTTAATTGACTTGTAAATTGTTTCTTAAAAGGATATTCTTATTACCTTTTATGAAAGGGGGCCCGAGCTCAACTTATCACATTACCATGAATACCAACATACTTAAACATGATCTTATTACCCTGGAGAGAGTTCATAACCTCCTTAAAACATGTTCTTACTTAGTTACTTACTTATAAACTTGATCAACTAAGCAAACTTGCTTAAATAGATGGTCCACACGACGGGAAGATATAAACTAGCATACTTAAAGAGTAATATGTTTGGTCTTCTTTTAAAACATAACTTTGTAAATGCAATGTGTCTTGTCGTGCTTAAGAAGTGAACATAATTCATAAACTTGAATATGAATATCTTAAATGCATAACACAAGCATATAAAAACATATCAATTAATTCAAATAACTTGCATAATTAATAACTCATGAAATACTATCTAATCCCATTAACCACGCACCTTACATGCTCAAGTCATCCAACTTGAATGAACTAAAGTCATACTTCCTCGCATTGTATGGTCTCCATCTGTTCATGAGGATGCAATATCGATAAACTTAACCTTTAAATCTTCTTCTCCTTGTATTAATTCCCTCGTTACTTTGCTTAACAACTTTCGCCACTCCCATAAGGTCGTCAAAAGCACATTCCATAGCTAGTAACTATGTTAGCAACCTACTTAACAAGTTTAAGCCATTTAACCAAACTCTAATTACTTTCGTGGCAATTAAGAATAGTATCGGCCAGCCATAATCAGGATAGTCCGATCTTATACCAAAACAAAGAAGGAAAGCCGATCTTTGAATTCAAAACCTACTCCCGTTATTGTCCTGCAATTGAAGCATTCCCCGCTCTTCTCCAACCCTAAAATTCATTTCTCTTCTTGCATCCGTCCGACTGTTTCCTCAAGCGGGTCTTCCTTCAATCCGGTCGTGAAGACGACCGACAATTGCAGTTTGGATCGAGATGTGCTACTAAGTTCACTCCCTTTTTCTTTCGCCGCAAGAAAATGGCGTTCGATCTATGCAGAGAGTACCTTCCTCCTCCTCCTCCCCTGAATCTGCTCAGCAAATTGGGAGACGATCCCCTCGTCGTGATTCTGATACGCCTCCCAAACCCTAGATCATCTTGCCTCTCCAAAACCGTCTGCAAGTCGTGGAGAACCCTCATCTCCGATCCCAGCTTCGATCGCCACTTTATTTCCCATCACCAAACCAGGTACCAACCAGCATCTATGTTCCTTACCGCACGCGAACCCAATTCGATCATCCTCAGCTTTATCCCCGTGCCTGACAAAGCTCGACGGGGATTTAGAGTCATGGATTGTTTCAAAGACTTGCTTTTATGAGGATTTCTCGAGCATGATAGAACCAAATTGCGGAGAACCTGCGTGGTCTACAATCTGTTTACAAAGCAGTGGATTACCCTTCCATTGGCGCCTGAAAGTTCAAATTCGGGGTATGGTGAATCTTTCGCAGCATTAGTCTGTATGTCATGTAGTAATTGTAGTCTTATGCAGCAGCTAGGCGAAGAATCAGAACTTGCAGCAATTTATTTCGAGTATGTTTTCCTCGTGGCGCGTAATCTTCATATTTGAGGCTCTACAGTACTGCATGTGTTTTCTTCCGAGTCTAGGAAATGGTCGCAGAGAAAGTTTGATGATAGCATGACAAGGACAATGACCAATGTAGTCTCGTGGAGCGGGGAGTTGTTTGGTTGACTTTTGAATTCAGTTCGTTCCGCGAAATCCTGTTTGTGTGTAACCCTTTCCGCCTTGATAGATCTCTCAAGCATATGATTGTATCTCATGCATTGTGGTATGCAATGGGGCAGGGAGGTGCCACTCTCGCGGTCTCGCAAGGTGCTCTGCACATAGTTGTATTCGAAGTTGAAGGTCTACGTCGCGGTTCGAGAAATGCCTTGAGTGTTTGGAGACTGAAAGAAGATGATGAGCATTGGACCGAACATTATTGGTGCATATTATATGAAAAGGTGTTGAGACCATTGGGTAAGTGTGTAGTTTTAACCTGTTGTATGCTTTGTCTACATCCAGGGAAGCTAGAAATTGTCTTCCTTAAATTTACGGATCCTCTTGATGGTCGTATCTACTCCTGCAATTTGAGGTCGGGGATGGGAGAGCTATAGCTGTTTTCTACAGTATTTCCATTTTGTTACGAACCGGATTGGATGGCTACCGTTGTTAGGTCCAGAATAGTACTGCAACAACACTTCCCTCAACCACTGGTAATTACAGTTTGGAGGAAGCGACGAGATTGACGGATTATAGAGTGAGAGTCTAGACTAGAAAGCAGTGACGATATACAGTTCTTGTTTGACAAGATTGATGAGGCGGCGCAGCTTCTGCGATAGTTTGTACTGGTTTTGATTTCATTATCATTAACTTAGTACTAGAACGGAAGCTCGCGCTACGCAGCGGGAGGTGAATAAGGGCCCGTTTAGTATCATTTTGTTCTTGTTGTGGTTGCAGTGGTGTTGTGTAAACAGATGTACAACCACAACAAGAAAAAAACAGAAAACACAAACCTGTTTAGTTGATAAATCTGAAAAATCATGAAAGCTGACAACAAGAAACAAAAACGCGTTTAGTTACTACTGTAAGAACTAAAAACCATAATACTTTGAAGAAGTTGAAGTTACCTGCTGTGGAGGAGATGAAGTGAGGCTTTTGTGGAGGGGAAGTGGTCGGCGACGGCAGGGGGGACTGGCGACGGCGGCGAGGTGCACGGGCGGACGTCGGCGGAGGGTCGGCGGGCTGCGCGGCGGAGGTTTCGTGCTGCTCGGCGGGCTGGGTCGGCGCGGAGGGATGGGTCACCGCGGCGGAGGGCGGCGCGGCGGAGGGGTCGGGCGCGGCGGGCTGGGTCGGCGCGGAGGCGGAGGGCGGCGCGGTGGAGGTGAGGCGGAGGTGGCGTCTCTGTTGAGAAGGGTAGCGGCCGACCTCTGTTGAGAAGAGTTTGGGGGGAGAAGGGTTTGTGGGGGGGGGGGGGGGGGGGCGCTGATAAGTTGAAATAGGGTGGCGGCCGACCTCTGTTGAGAAGAATTTGGGGGGAGAAGAGTTTGGGGGGGGGAGGGAGGGGCGGCTGATAAGTTGAAGTAGGGTTGGGGGGCTGTGTTAAAAAAATAAAATAAAAAATTTACTTCTGTGGGGATTCGAAAACTGGTCTGGTTTAATGAAATCAAGTGCCCAACCAGTAGGAATCCCGTGTGCAACATGTTTAAGAATCAGATCCAAAGCAATAAATTGTTGTTTCTCATATTTGGGCCCTGTTGTGCAACTCTGATTCACAACATAAAATAAAAACCCAACTAAACACGATTTTTTTTCTTGGTTTTCCAAATTTCATAAAACAAAACAGAAACAAAAAAAAGCAACAATACTAAACGGGCCCTTAGTAATTTAGAACTATAGTTTGTGAGGAGGCAGAACGACAATGCAATTATTGAGAGCATAAATTAGAATAATGTGGGAAGCTATTACAAAAAAAAAAATCAATGTAGAAAGCAAAGATTCAAACTGAGCAAAGGCTTTGATGTTTTGAAGGGTTGGAAAAGGCACAACACTAATAAAATTAATCACAACTAATAAAATTCCCACTAATGGTGATAATTTATAATCAATGGTTCGATCTAAGTTTGTGAACATTAAGAAAAAAAGGTAATTGTCTGGAAGGGATGCCAATCCAAGTCTCCCAATGCAGCATCGCCCACCCGAGCCACTTTAAGACACCACTCAATAAAAGATCAAATGAAAAATCATTATCATCAATGTACATCATGAACAAAGAATAAAAAAATCAATACCAATCAAGTTCCCTAAAGGGGAATTGAAACAACAATAATAAGCTCGAGAAGAAGGTAGCCTGACAATCTTACAAATACCTGTCGGGTCGGATAAAATTTGTTAACACCGGGTTCAACTCGCTTTAATCGGTTCGACATTAAGTCGAATGGAATGGACATCGATAAGCTTGTAAAACTTGTTGGCAACCCGAAATTTAACCAGGTTCGACCTAATGTCGTTGTGCCGCCCGGAAATAATACCGTAAAAATTTTGTCAACCCCGGGCTCAACTCACTTAACAATAAAAAGAAAAAAAATGACGGAAGTTTAAAACGATAGCAAAGGCAAGTAGGGAGAGTTTTTTAAAAAGTCACAATGACCCAACCCGACAATTACAAAACATGGAAAACTCATTCTCAGTCCAAAATGCATTAAAGCTTATTTCAACTCGCGCTAACTGGGTCGCATACCCATTGATTAAAGCACGCAAAACTCGTTGTCGAGTCAAAATTCGCCAACACCAGGTTCAACTCGCTTTAACTGGGTCAAGGAACGATGATAGACCAACATAAAACCCAAAACATTTGCAAGGCTGACACAATGAAAATTTTGTCAACACTGGGTGCAACTCGCTTTAACTGGCTCGACATTAGGTCGAATGGAATTGACATCGATTTAATCGCAAACCCAACATTTGTAAAACTAGCGTAAACTTGCTTTAACCGTGTCGATTTAGGGTGAACACCTATTGATTTGGGATCAACTCGTGTTCAATTGTCATAAGTTTATTAATCAGACCCTAAAAAAACTCCTCTGTGGTTAGAAACAAATTCTCAACACCGGGTTTAACTCGCTTTAACGGGTTCGAGGAAATGATGTTAAAACATGGCATAAACCCAAAACCATAAACCCAAAACATTTGCAAGGTCCGCACAAACGAATTTTTTTGCCAGGAAAGAACAATCAAACCCGGGTCGAATACGATCGAATAGAATTCGTTAACACTGGGTTCAACTCGCTTTAACCGGCTCGACATTAGATAAAATACCAAATGATCTAAGCGGGTTCAAGTAGCCTCAATATCCATTGATTTGGGCTCAATGGTCATAAAAAAATTAATTAGAACCTTAATGCACAAAAACACCTCCAAACTTTGGCCAATTACAAATGACCACCCCTTGTGATGGGACACTATGCAATAGTAACTTTATACTTGTTCTTTTATAGAGATGATAATGATAATAACAATAATAATATATTATTATTATTATTATTATATTATTATTATTATTATTATGTGAAGTATAAGAGAGACTATCTCATTAGACATTATGTTTTACTATTAATCTATCACTCTGCGAAAGAGGTCTAACCAATCTCACTCCAATATTATGTTCTTCAACTGGAAGAATATTGTCGTCAAACAAAAAATGGCAGATTATGATCTTTTTTAACACTTGCGTGCTTCTCTAATATGGATTTAGTCTTCCCAATATGCCCTGCAAAAAAAAAATGTCCAAGAGCATGAAATTTAAAATGTAACTATCATTCTTTTACTAAATACTTTGTTTAATACACGTATATATAAACATATGTATTATATACATTTAAAACTTGTGCTTCTGTATTAATGCTAATTTTTTATAATGTGAGAATAAATTAATAAAACGAGGGAGCAGAAAAACAATAGTAGTCACAGGTTCAAAAAAACTGAACTCGAAACAAAGCGCAAGGCCAAAACAAACAAAAACAAATGAGAAGTACACAAATTGTTGCATATTTTCTTGTTCATTTGATGACTCCAACTAAACACATATAAAATCCGTATAACACGTTTATTATCGTATTTAATAAAAGGAATGAATAATTTAAATAGTTAATTTTACATATTTTGTAAACGTTGGCGTATTATTAGACATTACATCAGTTTATCGATTAAATAAAATATTTGTATGTATTTTATATATAACTTTGAACAATATATGATAAAACTTAAAAAAGCCAAAAAAAAAGGAGACCTATTCCCCAAGTTGGGGTGGCAGAACGGTTTTTGATCAGCAGTTAACCGAACCGACCGGTTTTCGTCTAACCGAAAACCGTCCTCATTTTTCGGCGGCCGGTCGTCGGAGGAGAGGGGAAGAGGCTCGTCTAGCCGATTAACCGTGGTCGGAAACTGGCGGTTAACCGGCTAACAGACCACTTCCCCTTTACTCCAAAACGACCCCGCAGGCCTGCACCATCCCTGCCCAAAACGACCCCGCTCCATCCCCCCCAAAACGACCCCCAAGAACCCTAACCTGCTGGCTGCTTCTCCGTTCTCCCCAAAACGGCAAAATCATTCCCTTCTCGCTCAGTGCTGCCCGCAGTCCGTCCACCCATTCCTCCTTCTCGTCGCAAGAAACAAACCTTGTCCCTGCCAGCCCTGCGAACGATCGCTCCTCCCTCGCCGGTTCGCGAATCGCGACCTCGTCGCCCCTCCACCAGCCACCCCGCCGTCTCTCGCCGGACGAACACCATCTCCCGCCGCCTCCAACATCTCCCGTCGAGTTGTCGTCCGCCATTCCCCCTTCTATTAAAAAATTATTTATGTAAGTTTATTAGAATGATGATTTAGAGTTTTGATGATTGATTATGAATGATGATTTTGAAGATTGATGATGATGATTGGCGATGATGATGAACAACCACGAAAATGGGATGTTTATCTGCTTATAAGTTATAACGGTTTAGTGATGATGAATGATGATTTTGATTGATGAATGATGATGAATGATGATTTTGATGATGCTTGTTAGTTGTTACTTGTTAGAATTTGTGAAAATTTATTTGAATTGGCTATTGGAGATTCCATTTCTAATTTGTGTATTTTTTTATGTAGGCGAAACCACCGGTTTCGCGTGGTGGACGTGGCGGACGAGGTGAACCTTCCGCTGAGACTGCTCCTCGTGGTGGGAGACCTCCGGCTCCTCCAGGTCGTGGTCGTGTGGGTGCCTCAGCCCCTCCTGCTCATACTCGGGGTCGTGGTGGACGTTCAGGGAGTTGGCTTGTTCAATTTGCTGAACCGTCAGCATTGGCATCAATTGCATCGAATCTCGCCCATGTCGATAGTGGAAGTACACCTGCTGCTGAGACTCCATCAATTGCATCGACCGACTGACAACCCTATCCCCAACATATCGCTTTGGACTTTTGGCCCCATCTTTGAATTCAAAACCTTGTCACAGTTGCAGCATTTCAATTTTCCCGCAATTCTCAAACCCTAAATTTCCTTTCTCCTTGCATCAGAATTCGAATTTCCATATAACTCTGACCGAGTGTTGCCTCCAGAGGCGCGACTTCTTTCAATC